TGCATTTACAGTTATGTCGCGAAATGCTTTGAAATACATTTCGCGACGCTCATGCATTGAATTTCGAGGGCGCGGAAATGCATTTCAATACATATTTTCGCTACATGAATAACCCCATGAAGAAAGGTAACGCGTCAAGGTGTTGTGTAATGCTATCGAGGACGTTTAGCTCCTCGAAATTTATAAATTTTGCTTGAAAAATGGTAAATTATAACCCGAAATCTTGTATTTCGCATATTTTCACTAAAAAATCATTTAAATCGGCTGGAACATCTTAAATGCGTTATAATGTTCATAACAGCTGGCCTATGACAATTTATAACTGGTATAAGCTTAAGCTAACAATATACTTGTTTGAATGAGTTCAGCTGATTGATCTCTAGGTGATAATCAGTTTGAAGAATGTTCGGAGCGAAAATCCGAAAATTCTGACCATTTTCGAAACGAAACTCCGACCGAAATATTTCCGATTTTTTTTTCGGAAATTATTGATTTTTGGACTACGGTATGCTAAAGGCGCAAGCAAAAAAGGTTTCTTGTGGGTCTCGAGCGGAACTAATTGTAGCTTTTTTTTGAATTTCCGACATTTTGTTGTCTACTCCGAAAAAGCCCTTCCGAATATCCCTGCCTGAAATCTCTTGTTCGATTTTATAATCTTCGATTTTCCCAAAAACTTCCTCTTTTTAAATTCTGGATTTTGCAGAATAATGACCGCTAGAAGTTCTTCTGCGGCAACCTCTTCCTCCTCCTCCATCACCACAACGACTACAATGGTTCCAGATGAGAGCGAATGTCTCAAAAAGGAAGAGCATCGGTGAGTCAAAGCTTCACCCCCCCCCCTCCCACTCAATCAATTATCGATTTTTCCTCCAGATTCAAATCCCCGGACCCAGCGCCAACGCTCGACGAAGAAGTCGATATTGCCACGTTGCCATCGATGCTGGAAGACGATCCGAATGGCAATGTGGTGGAGTGTGATCTGGGATTCAAGGGACCCAGATGGGGTCCACAACACGCTGGAGCCAAGAAGCTCGCGTCAATGTATAGCAAAGGTCAGGGTTTTCGCTCACTTATCACACCATGGAAGATGCACTATCAGGCCATTATATGACATATAGACAGTCTGTGAAGGGGGTCAAAGAAGAGCGCGAACTTTGGCACAATCGAAATTCGTGGGAAAAATAAAAAAGAAATCGGAAAATTAAAAAAAAATTTTCGAAAAAAAAAAAATTTTTTCGAGGGAAAATTGAACAGTTTGGGAGTATTTCCGAAGGAAATTTTCCCGAAAATTCCAAAAAAAAGTTTGAAAAAAAAAATTTTTTTAACTTTTTTCAAATTTTTGTCAGATCTGGCACCCGATTTTCCGGAAAATCCCAAAAAATTTTTCAAAAAAATATATATATTTCAGAAAAGCGATTCCAAGAGGAGGTGTCGCTGATCGTCGCGATCTTCTGCTTCGCCGCCGTCTTCATCAGTTTGATTATCAATTGGGAATCGTCGATATGGAGTGAGTTTTCTAGGGAATTGGAAAAATCAATTTCTTCAGTTAAAAATCGATATTTCTTGAGATGAAAATTGAGAAAAAAGCATCGGAATCAGAATTTCTGTGCTTTAAATCAGCTTTTAAAAATCGATTTTCGGGGTTTTTGAGCTGAAAAAAGGCGAAAATCCGGCTAGGAATTTGAAAAAAAATACGCATTTTTCAAGTTTCAACAATTAGAATTCCAGAATTTTTAAAATTTTTAGAATTTTCGAGATTTTAGAATTTTAAAATTTCAGAATTTCAGGTTTTTCGAAATTTCAGATCTTTCAAATTTTTGAATTTTCTGAAATTTCAGAATTTTCCAAAATTTTTGAATTTTTGAATTAACCGAAATTTCAGATTTTTCGAAATTTTAAAATTTTAAAGTTTCAGAATTTCAGATTTTTAGAATTTCGGAATTTCAGAAATTTAGTATTTTGGAATTTTAGATTTTCGCGCGTTTTCATTCAGTTGTCTGACGAAAACAGTGAAAAACGAAAAAAAAAATTTCTGAAAACATATTTTGGTTACTGTAGTTGTCGTTGTTGGACCTTCGGCCACGGCCACCGACCGTCCTCAGCTCTGCTGCCGACCGCGACGCCGACACGCGATGCGTTCAAAATTGGCTTGGTGCCAAATTTGACCTAAATTTCAAATCGAATGCAATCAGCTGATTAATCCGTTTTTTTTGTACCACCATAATAGCTGACGACCGCCGCGCCGACACGCGACGCGTCCAAAATTGGCTCGGTGCCAAATTTCAAATCAAGCGAATAACCTCCAAAATTTGCAGAATCCGTGTTATTCTACGCAGTTCTCGGCGTAATGACTGCCGACTTCCTCTCGGGCCTCGTCCATTGGGGCGCCGACACCTTCGGAAGTGTCGAAACGTGGTTCGGCCGATCGTTCATCCGTCCGTTCCGCGAGCATCACGTCGATCCGACAGCCATCACGAGACACGATTTCGTCGAGGTGAACGGTGATAATTTCATGCTATGCATCGTTCCGCTCGTCTGGATACTGTATCAACAAGCCACGTATGATAGGGAGGATTTGACGAGATGGGCATCGTTCCATTGGTATATTCTGTTGCTCGGAATCTATGTCGCATTGACTAATCAGGTAAGAAAATGGGGAAATTTTGAGAAATATCGCTCAAAATTGGACTAAAATTATTTTTCTGTGTGTCTGAATGTCCCGATGTCGTCAATTCAGTTTTATCGATTTTTTTTTGTCGTTTTCAGCCAACAATTTAAAATTCCCGCCAAAACATTTTCAATTTTTTTCCAGATCCACAAATGGTCCCACACCTACTTCGGCCTCTCGAAATGGGTCGTCTTCCTTCAGAAAGCCCATATCATCTTGCCACGAAGTCACCACAAGGTACAGTACTCCAAAAAATTTGAATTACCCGAAAATCGATATTTCCAGATTCACCACATTTCGCCACACGCCTGCTACTACTGTATAACCACCGGATGGCTCAACTGGCCCCTTGAGTATTTAGGTGAGAGTTTGAGAAAGATTACTGTAGTTTGGGGGGGGGGGGTACTGTAGTTTTGGGCGTACTGTAATTTTGAGATTACTGTATTTTTGGGCTACTGTAATTTTGGGATACTGTGGGTATAAAATAAGGGTGCAGTTGCTAGATAGAAGGGTTTTGAACGGTTCTCTTTTATTTTCTATAAAATACAGTAATCCCAGTACAGGATTGTAGTTTGGGAGTACTGTAGTTATAGGATAGGGCTACTGTATGTAGATATAAGAGTTTTTAACGGCTATTTTTGATTTTGAACAAACTACAGTCATCCAAAACTATAGTAATTCCAAAACACAAGAATCACTGTAGTTTCGGATTACTTTAGTTTAGGATTACAGTAGTTTTAGGAGTACTGTAGTTTTGGATACTGTAGTTTGTGAGGACTGAAGTTTGAGATTATTCTAGTTTTCTGAACTACTGTAGTTTTGAAGTACTGTAGCTTAGGATTACTGTAGATTTGTAGATTGGCGACCGTAGGTCTACTGTAGGAGCTACTATGAAAGCGTCTTAAATGGCTATTTTTGATTTCCACAAACTACAGTAATCCAAAAAATTTCATTTTTAGGATTCTGGCGTAAAATGGAGTGGGCGGTGACAGCGGCGACCGGAATGCAGCCACGCGAGGACGACCTCAAATGGGCGACCAAATTGAACTAGCTACAGTAATCCCTCGAAAAAAATTATTTTTGAAATTCTACAGTAATCCTTATCCCCTTTGAATAACACTAACCACCAGTGATCTCTCATGCTTTCTTTTATGTAACTTTTTCTTCTTCTGCAATTTTTTCTTGTAAAATGTGATAAGTTATCACAGATAACTCGATGTTTTTTTTTCTGAAAATTTTCTGTCTGAAATTTTTTGTGTTCCATGGATTTCTGTGTTTTTTCTTCTTCATTTTTTCTACTGTGCAATACAATTTTCCGAATAAATTCAAATATTCTTATTTTTCGAAATGTATAGCACCATATATGGAATACTGGAAGGAAGGAAGGATCACAATTGAATTTTGAAAGAACTGGAATGATTTTTGTCTGGAAGGGGTTTTTTTGGGGAGGAGGAGAGTGGGCGTGGCTTAAAGGGGGGCGGGGCTTATTTAGAAATCTAGGTCACATATTGTAGGCGGTGTCGATTGCGGGGGCTTTTGTGTTGTCTTGGAATAGAGTTTTTAATTGGCTAACACTCCAATTAATTTCTAGAGGATCCATCCCGACGCAGGATTCCAGACCACCTCCGGAAGCGAAACGACGAGGGGTTTTGACAGATGATGGGCGGGACCTGAAAATGGGTTACTGTAGTTTAGGGGGTACTGTAGTTATGCAGTATGGTTACTGTAGGTAGATCTAAGAGATGTTTATGTACATTTTTATTCTTCCGGGACATCTGAAACTAGAAGTTGGGATTGTTTGGGACTACTGTAGTTTAGGAGTACGATAATTTTGGAGACTACATTTGGGGAGTACTCTAGTTGGATACTGTAGTTGGGGTCACTGTAGTTAAATGTTAGGGATACTGTAGGTAAATGGAAGAGTTTTAAACTGCTGGTTCTGATTTTATACAAACTACAGTAATCGAAAACTGCAGCAACCCATTTTTTGCTGGAATAGAGTGATTATTGTAATTTAGAAATACAGGATTTTGAGGGTACTGTAGCTATATGGTAAGGTTACTGTAGGTTGATCTAAGTAATGTTTAGGTATCCAGAAATGCAGAAATGCAAAAGTTCGGAAATTCATTGATTATGTAGGTTGAGGAGTACTGTATACTGTAGTTGTATGATGGGATTACTGTCAGACGAAAAGTTTTCAAAGTTATTTTTGAATTTTCTGGCAATTTAGAAATTCTAAAAAATTTCATATTTAGAACTTTCGATTTCCCGAATTTTTGAATTTTAAAGTTTTACTGAATTTCTAAATTTCTGAATTGAGAATTTTTTTGAAATTTAGAAACTCGCAAAAATAAAAAAGAAGAAATTCGACATTTCGGAAATTCAGGGATCACTGTAGTTTGGGTGTACTGTAGATTTGGTACTGTAGTTATACGATGGGTTACTGTAGGTAGAAAAAAGGTTCTATGGAAATTCAAAAACGTTCAATCTTCTCTGGATTTGTGAAACTTCTTCAAGAATTTCAGATTTCCAGAATCTTCGAATTTTAGAATTTTAGACGTATTCAGAATTTTTGAATTCTGAATTTTAAATGAAAAACCGAAAATTTTCAAATTCTGAAAATTTGGCGTTCCTTAGAATTCAGAATTTTAAAATTACTGAAAATTTGAAAGATCGTTAATTACAAACTTGGAAATTCGACAATTTTTAAAATAGGAATCTCAGAAATTCAGAAGTTCAAAAAAATATTTTTATTCCAGAATTTTGAAATTACAGAATTCCGAACTTTCAGAATGTCAAAATCTTAATCACTCAAAATTTCCTTAATTTCCGACTATTCTGGATTACTGTAGTACATATTACTGTAACTTACGCGTAAATCTGCTTTGCACACGTTTTATTGTTATTTCCATTCTGTGTCAGTCCTCTCTGCGATGAAGATCTCTGGAGCTCTGGCCTTTTGACAGGGGCTTTGTAGAAATCTGAAAAAAAAATCGGAAATTTCATTTTCAAATTACCGATATCGTCACCTTTGAGCTAATATATCTCAGTTCCTGTATGAGCTATCAATATGCGGTCAACTGATAAACTATTTATCATAATACCAGTAACATTTTGTCAGTTGACTACTTTTTGATATCTTTTACAGAAACTCAGATAAAAGCGCTCAAAGTTGACGCTTTGAGTGGCGTTCCACGACGGTATTTAGGCCCTTACCATCCGGCACAAAACTATGCTCTTCTCGATCCCTCTGTACCATAGATCCTCCATTGCTACGTGGCATTAGCGGACTATTTGTCAAACTTTTCGTCACGACTTCCGAATTTCTAAATCTCGACGTTGGCTCTGGAGGTACTTCAGAATTTGTCAGAATTATTGAATTCTGACGAAGAGCATTCAGACGATCATTGATGGTTTTTAAACTGGGTTCTTGGGTGAATGGTGCCACTTGGACTGTAGGTTTTGAGGGGGGAGGATTGCTCATTTGATATTCTTCTTTTAGAAAATAGGGACGTGGATGGGGATCCGATGGAATTGAAGATGAGGATGATGTTGAAGAAGAAGACGAGGAAGAAGACGTTTTGTTGGTTGGCGTCTGGAAAATCATATATCTCGTTTCATATAAAAGATAACAGAAATTTGTAAACTAGTAAAATGTTTACCATAATCTTCCCTATATTTTATTAGTTTGCAAAATTTTGATATCGTTTACAGGAAGTGAGATACATCACTTCAAATTGACCAAGGACTCTTGGGCGCAAGGATGCGTGGTTACTTTGAGCTCAATTATCTCGGTTCCTATAAAAGTTATCAAAACTTGGTCACTTGATAAAATGTTTATCATAAAATCACCAACATTTTTGTTTTTTCAAATTTTTAATATTTCCCATAGGAAGTGAGATAATCAAGCTCAAAGTGTGGAAGTACGGTGGTGATGCAACCAGCGGCGCCGACCAAGCCGCGGGCTTTTGAGTTTAATTATCTCGGTTCTCATGAGAGTTATCGAAAAGTTGTCAACTGATGAAACATTTATCGTATTATCAGCTAAAATTTACTAGTTGACAAATTTCTGATATCGTTTACAGGAACTGAGATAAGTCGCTTCAAAGTGACTGGGCGCTGGAGGAGACAGGACACCAAGGAAGCGTGGTTATATTGAGCTCAATAATCTCGGTTCCTATAATACATATCAAAACTTTGTCAACTGATTAGGTGTTTTTCATAACCTCCCCTATACTTTATCAGTTGACACATTTTTGATATCATTTACAGGAAATGAGTTAATTGAGCTCAAATTTCAGGTACCATCTTTTTTGGTTTTTTAAGAATCACCTCTGTCAACATAGCAACACTGCTGCTCTTAAAAGCCGGAAATCTCGAATCTCCAGAAATATTTGGAAGTCCACAATCGGCAGTTTGTGTTGCTTCTTCTCTTGATTCCTTTCGATTGGCGGGTTCTTTGGAGGCGTCGGAGTAACAGTGTCACTTGGTTCTCGACTCTGATGATAGGAAAGAAATTCTGCAGAGTTCTTCCGTGCAACTTCTTCTAGGGAGCTCTTTCGAGCACTTGGACGCGTCTGATGGTGGAATTTCATAGCTTCAAAGTCGAGTTTTATCGTACCCTCTTTGTTTCTGAAAGTTTCAAAGTTTAGAACATCCAGGGAGACTTCTATTCAGCTACCGTAATGGAAAGCCACTCAAACTTTCAACTTTGAGCCAATTTATCTTGCTTCTTGTAAAAGATATCTAAAATTGGTCAACTGATAAAATATTTATCATAATATTATCAACATTTTATCGGTTGACAACTTTTTGGTATCTTTTACAGGAACCGAGATATAAAGGCTCAAAGTTGACGGTTTGGGTGACCTTCTATTAGAGTGTTTACGGTAGATGGCCCACCTATGCTGCGCTTCGGTCCTCTGAAAATGGATTCTCTTGAGACACGGTGACCTGGGCGTCTCCTTATTCAGCCCCTTGTCCACATCATCTGATGACGTCTTCAGAGTCTCCGAAACGAACGACGCTCTTGTGAAACCAGAAGCCGTCGACGTGGATGATATGGATCTTTGGGGTCGATAGCTCCTCAACTCATCCATTTCGTCTTCTTCGTCTTCAGATTCAGAAGACGAGAATAGAAGACGTTCGTCGTGAATCGGTGGTTCGGAAATCTCAGAAATGGTCTCCAGATGAGCAGATGGGCCACGTGGCTCATCAGGAAGGTCGGAATCGGCAAGGGAGGATTGTGATGTGGCGTCGTCGGGGTCTGGAATGGCAGATGGTTTAAAGTTCCGAATTCTAGAGTTTCCAAAAATTAGGAATTCAAAAATTTAGAAAAATTTCAATTTTATAACGGCTACCTAATTTTATGGCCTAGAAATGACAGGAAATTTATCTGGAAGGTTTTCTCGGCTATTTTAACAAGATGACCTAATTTTCGCAAGTGGGGGTTTCTAGGCCACCATTGTAAATAGAATATAAAACGCATCAGGTGCATATAAGGGCATTTCTAGCCCATAAAACAGGTGTGCTAAGTTTTGCAATACGAGTTTTCTAGGTCACTATGTCAAAATGACCTAGGAAATTCAAAAATAGCCTAGAAAACACACCAGGTGGATATCATGTCATTTCTAGGATATTTTAGTATGGTGGTCTAGAAAACTCGTCTTGCAAAAGTTAGGCCTTCATACTAAAATGACCTAGAAAACCCAATAAATACTATGACACTCGGAAATAACGCTTACCATTCAACTCCTCAATAATTGGTGTCTTCTGTGATGATCCACCATCATCAGAATGCGATGAACTTGGCGCTGGTGAGCACACCATATTCGCATTATGATCTACCATCGGAGAGGACATGATAGCGAAAACGTTATCAGTGGAGAAGCCAGGCATCACTTGAGCCGCATTGGATATCAAAAACTCGACAAGTAGCGGAATCTTTTTTCCTCCTTCCATCGGATCCGGGCTCTCAAGGAAGCTAGGAGCCAAACACACTGACAACGATGACGCATTCATTTTTGATGTCGGAGAATTTGAAATCTTATTGAGCAATTTCAACACATTCGCTAGTAGAATACTATGAGATGTGGGTAAATGTGAGAGAAGTGCTCTACACGAATTGATCTTCTTGTCAAAATCCTGTTCATCTGAAATCTCTCGCATCCAGAGCTCGTAATTTCCAGATAAGAGAATTTTGCCAGGAATGCTTCTCAAATACTCCTTGAGAATTGATGCCAAAACATGGGTGTTGTATTTATGGAAATCTGGGACTACACCCTTGTCCAACTCGCTTTTCAGCTCTTTGAATGTGCTCTGTTTGGGAGATTTTCTAAAAATTCCTTCGGCGTCGAATCCATCCATTCGCAAATGGTCCACAATTGTCATAATTGGCTGGGGAGGTGTTGGACCGTTGAGATCTTTTCCGAAGATTGAGCGAGAATCCGTTCGTGTTAGAACTTTTTTTCTAGAAAATTGGAATCAATTGCCTTTCTAATTACCGCAATAATAGACGACCAACCACTTTGAGCTCAATTATCTCGGTTCAACATTTTTGTAGTTTACAATTTTTTGATATCTCTTATACATAGGAACCTAGATAATTGAGCTTGAAGTGAGTGCGTCTCGGTAAGATGCATCCCTAATTCCACATTTGAGCTTAACTATCTAGATTCCTATAAAAGTTCTCAAATAGTGGTCAACTGATAAAATGTTTATCATAATATAACTAATAATTTATTTGTTGACAACTTTTTAGTATCTCTTACAGAAAATGAGATAATTGAGTTCAAACTGTATGCAGCATTGTCGGCGCCGCGCGCCGTCAGCGGGTTGCGTCATCACCTTACTTGCTCATTTTGAGCTCAATTATCTCGATTCCTATGAAAGATAACAACAAATAGCCAATTAATGAAATGTTAATCATGATATCACCAATATTTTAATAGTTGACCAATTCTCGATATATTTTATAGAAACCGAGATAATCGATCTCAAAGTGGGCAAGTATGGTGGTGAAGCAGCCAGCAGCGGCGATCTTATTCTTTGAACTCAATTATCTCGATGGTTTCAAAAGATGTCAAAAAACTGTTAACTGATAAAATGTTTCTTATATTATCAGCTACATTTTACCAATTAACAAATTTTTGATATCTCTAATAGGAAGCGAGATAATTAAGTACAAACTGTATGCGGTATAATGTCATGAGCAGTCCGCGTTTGAGCTCAATTATCTTGGTTCCTGTAAAAGATTCAAAGAAGTGGTTAACTGATAAAATGTTTATCATAATATTACCAATATTTTACTAGTCGACAAGTTTTTGATATCTCTCACAGAAACTGAGATAATTAAGCTCAAAGTGAACGTATAGGTTGGGCTTCTATATGAGAATTTATGGTGATTTAAAGGAATTGCGACAGAGCGCGTTTACTCACTTTATACTATTAACAATCTGCTTGGCTGATGGTCCTGACGTCGACTTGATCGTTGACAAAACCAGCCGACAATTCGCAATGGGACACGTGTCAAGAGATTGTTTCTGGCTCTCAGAAAGTCTCGTCCGCTGCCTCTCGATCTCACTCATAATTGCCACGTACACATTCTCAGGACCTTGTAGTTGTCGGTGAGAGTTGTCACCTAGAAGTATTGAGAAATTTTGCAAGCTACGGTAATCCTCTTGCAGTCCTCTTACCAACAGAAAGCGTCAACTGATACGAAGTATGGGGGAGTCCGAGATCTCCAGCGGTATCCACAACAATCTCCCCAGACTTCTTTCCATTATCCACACGTCTTCGGATAGTCTACAAGAACTACAGTAACCCTTTCACAGCATTTTTTTATCTACCTGCTTCCGTCCCCGAACATTGATATCCATAGAAATGGTCGTGAAAAGTGGCCGAAGGCATTGCTGAACACAACAGGAAAGGAGCTCAAACCATTCGTCTTTTTCTTCAGTGTTCCTGAAATATTTGGAGCCTACTCTAATCTTTTCGGGGGTACTGTAGCTACCTGAAATGCACCAAATAGTTGGTAAACGGCCATCCGATGAGGAAGGAGTCGGCGGTGTTTGAAGAGGCAATCCAGACTTTTTCCAGGCGAAGTTTTTCTTTTAGTTTGTAAGAGCAAGCACCTCTGGAAAAAAAGAAATTCGGAAATTGAGAAGTTGAAAAATTCAGAAATTCAGAAAGTCAGAAATTCAACATTTCCGAAATTTCAAAAAATTCCAGGAAGCTCAGAAATTCCAGGAAATTATCCTAGAATCCCTGTAAGTTACTTTTTAATGCCCATTTTTCGGGAACTTTTTCCATTTTTTCCACCTAAAGTCTTTTTCGATCGTTTATAGTCCTCAAATTCAAATTCCCGCCAAATCCATCATCATACAAAAAAGCGAAAAAGAAAAAAAAACATCTTCCGTTGCGGGGAATCGAACCCCGGCCTTATGGGTGAGAGCCATAAATCCTAACCACTAGACCACAACGGAGCGTGGAAGATTAGGTCGGCGAGTGCGTATAAAGGGAGCGGCGGCAATAAAGGATGTGGAGGTGCCTAGGCGCAAGATGGAATTTTTTTTCGAAAAATTGGAATATTGGAAAATCAAATTATGAAAAAACTCACTTTTGCTTGGAAATTATCAATGTTTCATGATAAAGGAAAAAGTAACGATGATGAGAAAGGAGAGTAGAGAGCGATGTCAATTGTACGGATCCCTCTTTCAGTGGCTTTTTTCCGTTGGTGGGGTAGTCCTGGAAACATTTAAATTAGAACTTGCTGGCCTAGTTTTTCCATGGCCCAGCTTACCGTCTCCACATTCAAACTCGTTGATGACGAATTACTGCTGATCATCGTGATTCAGCCATTCAAATTTAGGCAAATTTGGGCAAATTTTCTGAATAAACTTTTTCAAATAGGAAAAATTGTTTTTGAATAGAAAAGGAAGAAAGAAAGAAGCTTAAGAGGGGCTTAAAGAAAAGCGGGAGAAGGGCAATTAGTCAGGTACCGAAGAGGACGGTTTTGTGACTAATATGCAAATGTAAAGGATTTTTCGGAGAAGAAGAGGCATGAAACCCCAAGGTCACTTGTTCTCAGGATTCGGAAGAGAGGGTTTGACGGTGTTTTGCGGGAAAAATGAGACGGAAATGAACGAAAAAATAGTTATGTATGACATTGAAAATTGTTTGTAAAGTTTTTGGGTTGAGTTAATATTTTTGCTAAAAAGATGGATTTTTCAATCTCAGAAGCCTATATTTTACAGATTTCAAGCGAAAACTATCATTAGAGCGCACTTTACAAAACTTACAAATACATTGAAGCACACTTTACAACAATAACGAACTCTCATTGACACTCTGCCAGCCCTTGCCGCCACCGCCTTCCGCCCTTCTTATACGCACTCGCCGATCTAGTCTCCCACGCTCCGTTGTGGTCTAGTGGTTAGGATTTATGGCTCTCACCCATAAGGCCGGGGTTCGATTCCCCGCAACGGAAGATGATTTTTTTCTTTTTTTTATGACGTGGAGCTTTGCGGGAATTCAAATTTTGCGATGGGAAGTTGAGTTTTCGGGAGCTTGGGAGTTAGAAAAAGAGAGATTTCAGGATAAAAAGGTTGTTTGAACATATTAAACGGCAAACAGATATACTTTGAATTCAAGTTTGATGGCCATAAAATAAAAGAATCTAAATGAAATTGAAATTTAAAAATTCAATAGAATCTGATTAAAGTGCCTTAACACTCAAAATTACGAAATGTAGGTATTTAGAAGCTATAGAATTTGGTAAGCATCCCAATCAGAATACCGTAGAACCTGTAATAGAAGGGCCTTTTAACATTCAAGCTCATTCATCTCGGTTCCTGTAAAAGATATCAAAAAGTTGTCAACTGAGAAAATATTGCTGATATTATGATAAAAATTTTGTCAGTTGACCACTTTTTGATTTTTCTTACAAAAAAGGAGATATATAGGCTCTAAGTTGACGGTTGACAGGCACTCAAAATATCAACTTCAAGCCTATTTATCTCATTTCCTGTGAGAGATATTAAAAAAATTGTCAACTGATGAAATATTTTTCATATTATCAGCTACATTTTATCAGTTGACTATTTTTTGATATAACTTACAGGAAATGAGATATATGAGCTCAAAGAATAGGTTGGTTTTATATCATATCTCAAACAAAGCACCCAAAACATTTTTTTTAAATTCAAATGATAAAAAAAACGGTATTTTCGAGGTCCACACAAAAATAAAAAATTTTGAACCCTGAAGGAATCGAACTTTGGTGTTGTGGACCACCAATTTTGGTTCCGAAACCCATTGAGCCATTTGGGACACTTTTTTGAAAATCACCATTTTTGGTGGAATTTTGAAGGTTTTGCTGATTTTTAGTGTTTTATAATCGTTTTTTAGGTTGGAAAATGTCAAAAAATGAAATTTCACAGATAAAAAAAAACTCAAAATCTCAAAACCTTTCACCACAACTAGGTATAATAAGACCAATTTAATACAAATGGTATGATTCAAGAATCCTTGAGAAGAAGTACCAAAAGAAAAAGAAGAGGAAGCAGAAGTATAAGCTATAAGTTTTGTACGTATATGTATTATAAAACTGGCGGGAAAACGTATAAAGAGATGTGGGGAGTGGCAATTCAGAATAAGTTGCGCAAGCAAGAGAAAGTGAAACAATTCTCTTCTCCGAAAATGATTTCAGGATCAGATATCTCGAGAAAAGAGAGACGAGAGAGTGCGGGATTCGGAGAGACGCAGACAGAATTTAGGCCGTGATTGTTGTTGTTGTTGGACATCGAACGAGAGTACGTTCAAACCGTTCTCTTCAAATGATAAGGGGGAAACCTGATTTTCGAATTTTCGAATTTTGAATTTCAAATTTCGGAAAAGACGACGTGCAAAAAGTGAAAATTGGGGTTCAAAACCACAACAACAACAAGACGATGTCAGAAGTCGGAATAGTTTAGAGGGAGGTTTAAAGGGACATACAGGTCGGAAGAAAATGAAAAGGACAAGAGGGAAATGAGGCGAGAATTGTCGCTTCCAATGGTTTTTTTTTGGTGGATTCCCGGCGGTTTTGATGACTAAACGGATGTGAAATGAGGTGCGGGAAATGACTTGTTGAGGGAAGAAACATGCAGAAATTACCTTTTCACTTTTTAGTACTAGAGTATTTGAGGTTAGAATTTGGAACTTTTGGAATTTTTTGAAACTTTGGGATTTCTAGAAATTCTGAAACTCAGATTTTCAATAATTTTTCGAAATTTTGGAAAATTTCGGAAATTCAGGAACTTGGAAATCTAAAATTCTGAAACGCAGAATCTCGAATTTCATAAAAACTGAGATTTTACATAATTTAATACCTTGTGGTCGGAATTTGATAATTTAAACATTTTAGAATTCAGAACTTCAGATTTTTAAAGTTTTAGTTCTCTCCAATGCAGGTTTTTCTGAAATTTGGGATCTCGAAAAAATTGAAAAAGCTGAAATTTAGAAACAATTCAATTTTTAAAATTTGTACACTAAAAGTTTAGAAATCTGATCAATTTTGGTTTTTTTTTAAATTTTGAGATTTAATGGAAATCTTGGAATTCGGAAATTTTTTAGGTTTTGTCAGATTTATGAAGATCTGAAGTATTTGATTTTTCTAGAAGTTCACGAAAATCGAAATTATGAAACTCGTAGTTTAAGAATTTCATGAAAGCTCAAATTTTCTAAAATTCAAGTACTTATGATAATTTCAAAGTTTTAGAATTTTCAGAATTTTTGGATTTCTTAGTTTCAGAATTTTCAAAATTTCAGAAACTTAGAATTTTAGGATTTCCGAATTTCTGGAATTCTGTATTTCTGAGTTGCTGAATTTCTGAATTTCTGAACTCCAGAATTTCAGCATTTTTCAATTTTTGAATCCAAAAAACGATCAAAAGCTCAGGAAAAAGTTTTAGAAAGTGACATGTTCGTAGCTTTTTCAATTTTCTTCAAAAGCGGGAAAAAAAAACAAAAATCCATCGAATTGAAAGAAAAAATTGGAAAAAAGTCTTGTTGGTTTTTTTTTTGAAAAAAAATACAAAGGAGTATGATTACTGTACCTGGTTTTTTTTTAAACTGTAGAAGGACCCCCTAACTTGGAGCCAATTTATCTCGGTTTCTGTCAAAGATATCAAAAAGTTGTCAACTAATAAAATATTTATCATAATATCACAAATATTTTATCAGTTGGCATATTTTTGATATCTTTGATGGGAGCCGAGATAATTGAGCTCAAAGTTGACAATGTGGACGCCTTTCTATTACTGGGTTTACGGTACGTACGGTACCGCGGTACCTCAACTTTAAAATTTAGATTTCAAAAATTTGAAAATTTTGAGATTACTGTAGTTCTATATTTTTTTCCTAAAAAGTACACATATCAACGAAAATAGGAAAGTGAGTCAAAAGTGAAAGATATCGTTTTGAGGAGGGAAACTGGGGTGACCTATGTTTGGTTAGAGGGCGACGAGAGAGTATAAGGAATAGAGAGACGCAGAGAAATCAGAAGATGGTGTCAAACACAAATATCATAAATGGTTATAAGCATTTCGGCGGAAAAGAAGAGGGAAGAGGAGGTATAAGATATGATTGGGAAGGGAAAGTTAAAGCTATTAGAGAAACTAGGTTACAAGGTACAGAAAAGGATTAATTGTAAATGTTAGAATCAAATTTTCCCACTTTTCTTTGGATTAAAAAAAAAATCTTGAAACATTTTTCAATGAAAAAATCCTAATCATTTTGCCCACCAGTCACCATACGCCGCCGCTCCCTTACCTCCTTCTTATACGCACTCGCCGACCTAGTCTCCCACGCTCCGTTGTGGTCTAGTGGTTAGGATTTATGGCTCTCACCCATAAGGCCGGGGTTCGATTCCCCGCAACGGAAGATGTTTTTTTTTCTTCTTTGTTTTTAATAGGTTTGGCGGGAATTAGAATCTTTTGTTCTAGAACTATTCAAAAGGCTAGAAATGATGGAAATTTGAAATGTTTAGGTAGAAAAAGTGGGAAAAAAGTTGAATGACGAATCGAATTGGATTTTGTGCAGCGCATGAAAAATGCACAATATACGCCGAAAGTCAAGCACAATCGAATACAAATACACACTCAAAAACCATTGAATAGCCAAAAGAGGGGTTCAGGTTATACAACAGTGTTTGGTGGCCGGAATCGTCGCCCCGGGAGAAAAAGACTCCCGTTTTTCAATTGCTCTTTTCTCTCTCTCTCTCTCTCTCTCTCTCTCTCTCTCTCTCTCTCTCTCTCTCTTTCTCTTTCTCTTTCTCTTTTCACTCCTTGTTTGGATTTGATTGAAGTGTGAGTTGCATTGAGAGCAATAAAGAGCCACCGGTTGGGACGGAGGAGCCGGTTGTTTCTGTTTAAAAATTGGTTACTATAAATTTATCCATGGAGCGCATTTGAAACATTCTTTAAATTTGAAAAAAAATTTAAAATTAAAATTCAGATTTTCAGAGGAATTTCGGTTCAAAATTGAGCTTGAATTCTTGACAACTGTCAGAGTTACGGCATTTTGAAGTTTTTGAACACTTCTCTGAGTTTTAGAATTTTAGAATTTTAGAATTTCTGAATTTATGAATCAGGATTTTAGAATTTTAGAATTTTAGAATTTTAGAATTTTAGAATTTTAGAATTTTAGAATTTTAGAATTTTAGAATTTTAGAATTTTAGAATTTTAGAATTTTAGAATTTTAGAATTTTAGAATTTTAGAATTTTAGAATTTTAGAATTTTAGAATTTTAGAATTTTAGAATTTTAGAATTTTAGAATTTTAGAATTTTAGAATTTTAGATAAAGA